CCTCCTTCAGGCACTGAGCGTCTTCCCCCGCTGCCCAGCCCCTGAAATACTCCAGCCGCGGAGCCTCCCGCGGCGACTCATGCGCAGACGAGCGGCTGCGAGGCACAGGCTCAGGCAGGGATCGCGGAGTCGGTCTGATCCACTCCCGGACCGCAGGCGAGAGCAACAGGAGCCCCACTTCCCGCTAATGCGCAGCTCAGGAAGGATCAGACCTGGCGACGAGTTGCTAGTAGTTTAATCCCTGCGCTGTGGTCAGGCACACCCTGAGTCCACCGGTTGCATCCAGCAATCCTGGAACCTGTCGAAAAGCTAGCGGCCGTGCACCTTGGAAGGTTCCCCCCCCTCCATCTGGGGGATTACTTGCCCTTTTTCACCTTTTTCTTTCATAGCGCCTAGAGGAGCTATAGTTGCCCTCTGCGTATTCACACTGTCCCCATCGGCCAGCAATGAGGGATGTTGCTTGGTTAGAGACTTCACTTTGGCTGCTTGGGCTCACACTTTTAAAGCCCCAGATGGCTGAAAAAGTGCCCACATTAGGGTGGTGCTGGCACATTCTGTGGAAAACTAAAGTCTCTCTCTTACCATTTTCCATTTACACTGTTAACATAACAGTGTGATGGTAAGAAAGGTTCTTTCGGTTATCACATTGTGGCAAAAGCTGAAAAGACAGACATGAAACAGGACAGAAATTCTCCCTCTGCACCTGTCAGGAAAGTGGATCACACGACTAATTTCAAAAGATGCCATAAATCTTTGTCTTAGATTAAAAAAAAAAAAATATAAAAGAAAAGAAGAGGGAGTAAGTTTTGGTGCATCAAAACACTGATAGAGAAAAAAGCTGCCATGTCTAATCACTGTCACATTTTACAGTTGATCGCCAGAACTGACATGAAGAAAAAGGAGAAGAAAAGGTAGCTTTCCCACTATCCAAAATGACTATTACTATCCTAAGGAAATGCTGTATTGTATATATTGTCCCTAGAATGTAGCCTTGTCACGCAAGTGTGACCACTCTATGAATAACTGCACATAAAACTACTTGAAAGAGCCTGAAGGCAATGTTGTTTGGTTGTTTGTTTATTTTTTTTCCAACAGCAGTTATTAGTTTTGGATCGGGCCCTAATTGAAAAGCTTGTTATGGTAAGTTATATGTCTTAAGGAAAGAGCAAAGCAACAAGACATGAGATGTGTTATTTGGAAGAGAACCAGTACTGTATTATTCCTCAGGATGGAAAGAAAATGAATGTTTTCTTTGATCAGAAAGCTGTCATTTTCAAAGTTAAAAAAGAGTAGATACATTTGACAGTGCTTATGCTGGACAAACAAAAATCCAATATGTATCTGTGTAAACATTTGAGAAAAAAAATCTATAAAAGCAAGACAATACCAGTTTTCCCAGAGTTCGGTTGTTGCATTTCTGTCATCAAGGAACCCACATTGCATGGCCAAACACTGCACAGAGGGTCAGGAAGAACTGAACCGTCATGGGAGAAGCTGGCTGTATCCATGCAGAGCAGAGGTTCCGCAATTACTCCCTCTCTCACAGCAGCAATTCTTAAGGTTCCTACTAGTCAGAACCCATCTATGACCTACCTTTCATTTAATAATATCACAAGGTTATGAAGCTTTTATGTTAGTCATCTGGGATTAGAGGCTGTCTGTGTAGTGATGTCAGGTGGGGTAGATGCTATTTTATATCATCACAGAGACAACCTAGATGGGCTGTTCTCTTACTGTGATAACTACTTCAGAAGCTATTTCCTGGTGGATCCAGACAGAAGGCAACTCCTGTCTCTTTCTTTCTCTCTCCCTTCTACACATACACACATAATTTCTCTCATACAGCTCTTTCAAATGAAGAATGAATTGTTTCTGAAAACTAATGGAGAAAGAACACATCAAAATAAGACAAGAAAAAAAAGGTGACAAGTAGCAGAAAGCCAGGCAAAAAATGATTGCTTTTTCACATGTACAGTGAGTTGTATGGTCCCCTGCAACAACATCCTGGGCTCAAAGAACCCAGTAAGGATGATGATGTTAGATATCCTCCTTTGTTTTCAGTGGGCCTTTGTCAACGTGACAGGTTAAGCATACGCATAGCTTCCTGTGGGATGTGGGTCCT